AATAATAGAGAAGGCCCTTTCCTGTATCCCCGCCAGATGCACCTGTGAAGGTGGTGGGATGATAGCCTCCAACTTATATCCTCCCTACCCATCATAGCCAATGGTGAAAGATGCTGGGAGCTGCAGTTGAACAACCTCAACAGGGCCAAAACTGTCCAACTTTATATTAGTACAATGACTTCCAAATTTTCTACAGTCAATGAATACTTCCATGGTAGTGTGTCTAATTAAGAACTCCCAAACATTGCAGAGAATTCTAAGAGATGCTCTAAGGTATTCACTCAGTTCATGTAAAAAAAGAACAATTACTGTATGTGTTGTCAAGTCTATTCAGACTTACAGCAATCCTTTCTAGGGTTTCCTAGGTATAGAGTACTCGGAGGTGGCTTAGCAGTCCCCACTTGTGGGGGCACTCTGGGACTGCCTGCATGACCTGCCCAAGGCTACATAGCTTGGCTCTTCTGCCAGGAGGCACAATGAGCCATCAAACGCCCAACCCAGGTTCTCCAACTCACTGTTCTTTTTGCCTCAGGGCCCTACTGCCTTGTGGGCAACCTTTTGGCAGATGGATGCCCATGAGAACAGGGCTTTCCACAGTCAAAAGCAAGCAGGACTGAAACCCAAAGTACACGCCCTGCACAGCAGTGAAATAGCTTTGTTCAATTCCCCACATCTCCAGGAAAAGCTGGGAATATGAAACTATGGAGAGGTGTTGCCAATCGGTAGCGACTAGAAGACAGAAAGCTTGACGGGCAAATGGTGAAACCCACAACAAGGCAGATTCCTATACTTGTAGGAAAGAGGTGGGTGAAGTATGTCTGGGAGGTCACATGTTGCCTTCCAAAGCCATGTTTGCAGCTCCCAGTTGCCCCTCCATCAAAAAAGAGTTTTGGGGAAAATTGGATCCTACCAGGAGTGGTAGTTTTACAGTAAAATGGAATGCAACACCAAACATACAAAAATGAAAATATTTGTATGTTTCATATTTCCCACCTAAATGGAAAACTCCTTTTCTATGTGTTTCATCAAGGGAAAAATGTAAAGACTTGTGCTTAGGAGGAAAGAATGAGATGTAGAAACAGAAGATAGGAGACAACTGGCTCAGCAGTGGTGTGTGTGAAAAGGACCTAGGTGTCTTAGTAAATGACAAGCTAAACATGTGTTAACAGTGTGATGCAGCAGCAAAAAAACAGAAACAAAAACCCTAATTCCATACCAGGCTGCAGGGATACAAGTAGAGTGACCAAATCAAGGGAGGTAATGATACCACTCTATTCTTCACTGGTCAGACCTCCCCTAGAATACTGTGCCCAGGTTTGGACACCAAAGTTGAAGAAAGATGATGAAAAGCTGGAATGTGTCTGGATGGAAGATGGTCAGGATGATAAAAGAAATAAAAGCCAAAACTTATGAAGAATGACTGAAGGAATTGGGCAGATTTAAGACAAGAGAAGACAAAGGTGACATGACAGCTATTTTCAAAAATTTGAAGGGCTCTCGTATGGAAGATGTAGGAAGCTTGTTTTCTCTAGCTCCGGAGAGGAGGACTCAGAGTCATGGATGCAAATTAGAAGAGAGGTACCTGTGTGCACCTCAGAGTTGCCAAAGGAAGCCTTTAATCTGCAGTGATTGCTCCTTTTGCTGATGTTACCACTGCTACACTTGCAGAGCTACACAACAGGATTTCAGCCTATGGCTCAATGAAAGTTTATAGGTGTCTATTGACTTTGGCTTTGACTTACTTATAATTACGGCTTATTTGGGAGAATTACAAACCCCTGTGGGTCTGTGGGAAGAATTTTCCTTTGGATTCTCCACATTTGCTCACAACTGTCCTATGAGACTATTGAAATAGGAACTCCAGGTCCCAAACCAAAACTCAAAACCCCTTGTTGAAGAATGAGGTTGGCTCTGTGTCATGTTTTACAGTGGACAGGGAACCACCCTGTATTTCAAAAGATGTCTTTCAGGGATGGACAACCTGTGGTCCTGTTGTTGGATTACAGTTCTCATAAACCCAAGTCAGTGTAGCTAATGGGTTGAGATGGTGGGAACCATTGTCCTGCTCCATCTGTAGGGCCTCAGCTTCTGCAACCATGGAACAGATTTCCTGTCTAAGTCCAGTTTAAACATTAGAAAACCACATGATATTTTTCAAGAATTTTATTGCATGCTTGTGCCTGTAGGGGAGAGTTTACTCACCATATGTATTGTGTTCCAATGATCACAATACCATTTAGTAGTATAAGTAGAGGTGTAAATGTAAGAAAGGAAGGAAAGATGAATGGAAGGAAGGATAAAAATACTGGGCAGTAAAAAGTAGATACATCGTCTTGCCAACAAAACTCTGAATAGGCAAAGCTATGGTTTTTCCTGTAGTGATGTATGAAAGTGAGAGCTGGACCATAAAGAAAACTGACCGCCGAATAATTGATGCCTTTGAATTGTGGTGCTGGAGGAGGCTCTTGAGAGTCCCCTGAACTGCAAAGAGAACAAACCTATCAATTCTAAAGGAAATCAAACCTAAGTGCTCACTGGAAAGACAGATCCTGAAGTTGAGGCTCCAATACTTTGGCCATCTCACGAGAAGACGCCTTGGAAAAGACCTTGATGTTGAGAAAGTGTGAAGGCAAGAGGAGAAAGGGATGACAGAGAATGAGATAGTTGGACTGTGTCACCAAAGCAACCAACATGAATTTGACACAACTCTGGGAGGCAGTGGAAGATAGGAGGGCCTGGCGTGCTCTGGTCCATGGGGTCACGAAGAGTCGGACACGACTAAACGACAACGATGCTGGGATATTGTTTTGTTTTAGTTTTTGGAATTAATTTAATCCAGGACTTAGCTTATTGAGTGGCTACGGAACCAGAGGTTGGGTGTTCAACTCCCTACTGTGCCTCTTATAAGTAGATCCAGCCTGTGTGGTCTTCAGCAAGCTGCATAGTCTCAGCAGGCTCCCAGAAGAATCACAGAATCATAGAATAGTGATGTTAGAAGGGCCTATAAGCCCATAAAGTCCAACCCGCTGCTCATTGCAAGAGTACAGAAGGGCTTGGTAGACAATTTCTGAGTATTCTCTACCTAGGAATACTCTGGAAAGTGTCATCATGAGTCAGAATTGATTTGACAATATGCTGATGCTATTGTTATTACTGTTATTGTTAACAATAACAACATAATTTTTAATGTGCAGATATTATGTAGATCCATGCCCCCTTTTTTCCAAATCAGTTTCTCATTTTTGATCATGGCTACCTCATTTCAAATATCATTAATTTTATTATTTGCTCCCTATCCTGAACATCTCCTCATGGTGCTCTGTTCTGCCCTTGTGTTGGGGTGCTGTTTTTCTGGAGTAGTTGGTGACTGGCGTTTTTGGCAGTGCAGTCTCCAAGGAAGGAGAAGGGACTTAAGCATGGATAAAGCCATTTGCTCATAACATGAATAATGAAAAACCCATGTGCACTTTGTTCCTCCCTCTAAACGCTTGCAATTTAATTAAAAGAGCAGCCACCTTTCCTGAAAACTTGAGCAGCATAAACTTGCATTTCCTCCTTCCAAAAAAACAGCATGAATTATTTATGCCCTGCACTCTTCTCCCGTGGATGTAATGTACTGTAGAAGCACTTGCTACTAAGAGTTGTGCTAGATTGCATTTCACTTGATCATCACTTCCTGAGAAAAAAGGAAAGGGCGAAGAGAGAGAAAGAGAGAGAGGGAGGGAGGGAGGGAGAGAGAGAGAGAGAGAGCAGAATGCTGGTTGGGAGGGAGGGAGGGAGAGAGAGAGAGAGCAGAATGCTAGTCCATCACATAGTTTCTTCCTTGCTCTTGATTTGGTATGAAGTGGATTTCCTGGATTCTAACCTAGCTCTGTCACCAAGGGGAGGAGTAGGCAGCAGGGGCTATGTTTCTGATTGTGGACCTCTTCTTTCTATCATTAGGGTATGTTAAATTGTTCTCCAGAATCAGTCATCCATCTTCCACTGAACGATGCTTGAGTGTCCAGTGATGAGCATTTACGCTTATTCTAAATTCATTCCAGGACTACAGCTTCTAGAATCCCTCTACTTTACATAGCCATGCAAGCTAGGGGATTTTGGGAATCATTGCCAAAAAAAGAACTTTACTAAAATCTAGTAATGTAGATGCTTCCTACATGCAACCAAATCTTGAGGATGGAGTATGGTCTCCAGTAGCCATTCTCAATAGGAGCCCTGGCATATTTGGCCATAGACTGAAAAATGTGAGTAGGGTAGCCCATATTCATCTGTTTGAGGTGTATCCCTTTTTGACAGGGGGTCCTGGAACCTGAGAAAAATTCCTGATAGGGCTACAATGGGGTAAAAAAAGGTTAACAATGGTCTAGGGCAGTGGTTCCCAACCTTGGGTAACCCAAGTGTTCTTGGACTGCAGTTCCCAGCAGTCTTCACCATCAGCTGTGCTGGCTAGGGTTTCTGGGAATTGCAGTTGAAGAACATCTGGGTTGCACAAGGCTGAGAACCATTGCTCTGGAGCTTTGTGATTTTCTTTTGGTTCAGATGTACATCTAAATTCCTAGTGCGTTCCTTCTGCTACTGTTTTTCTGATAAAGTTATTGCCAGATCCTTCAGATTTCTGAAGCAGCTGATTTGTTCTGGGAATACTACCCTTAATAACACAGAAGAGCTTGAAAGGTATTTCAGAGCTTTTCAAGCCAATCCTTCAAGCACTGCCCACCTGTTAATTTAGAGATTAGGAAGTGCCAGCCCTCCATGCTGTGGGTGGAATAAGTCTTATTTTGTAATGAAAATGATATTTATACTGTCCTGCTGCCATTTGATATAGTAGATGTTCTCTTCACACAGAGCAATTGTTTTAAAGACTACCGGAGTTTTGATGATGTTTTGCTTTTATTTTTAGAGTAATGCAGGGCCTGCAGTTTTTTGGCTTCTCTTCTTTCTTTTAAAACACCCTTCCGCCATGGCTGCAGTTGAAGGTGAAATGCAAACAATATTTGGATCCAGAAAACAAACTATTGGACAAGTCCATGGGATAAGTCAAGAGAAACTGGACAACACACCCATTTTCAGTGAGTAATTTCCAGGGCCATTTTCAGGTAATTTGAGACTAGCAGTAACAGTGGACCCTCTCTTCAACCAACCAGCTATCTCTTTAGCATCCATCTTCCCTTTGCACATTGTCCTGGACCAGGCAATTTCTGCCACTCCACCCCATGTCTCAGGTCATAGCTGCTCTGCTTCCAGCAGTTAACCCTGAGGGAATAATTGCCTTTATGTACCACCCATTTCCTTTATACAGTGGTGCCTTGCTTAACGAGCGCACCATAGAATGGTGAATCCGCATAGCGAGGGGGTTTTTTCGATCGCAACTGCAATCGCAAAGCGATGGCCCCAATGGGCGAAACTCGCATAGTGAAGGTCGGTAAGCGTTTCGCTTACCGACCTTCGCTTTGCAACCCGCGGATCAGCTGTTCGGCGGCTCCAAAATGGCCACCAGAAGCCCCGAAATGGCCGCGTGCAGCGTTTTCGCGCCCTCGGTAAGCGAGGGGAGGGCGCGAAAATGGCTGCCGGCCATAGGAAAACATCGCTGAACGGTGAGTTTTCGGCCCATTTGGAATGCATTAAACGATGTTTAATGCGTTCCAATGGGTTTTCTTGATCCGTTCAGCGATGTTTTCACATAGCGAGGGTTAATCCGGAACGGATTAACCTCGCTATGCGAGGTACCACTGTATTTGTAATAGATATGAAACCATGTAGAGAATATAAGCTGAACGGAAGGGCTGGCCCTTGGGTTCGAGATTTAACACACTTTAAGAGAAGATCCCAATGATATGGAGGAGTTACTTATAATGCATTGCTTTCAGTGCTATAACGACCTTTATCAGCCCTTCTTTCATGTATTAGAAGTTATCAGGCTTAATCTGAGATATTTTGATTCCTGGACTAAGGCTGAAAAATGCCTCTCTACCCTTCAAAAACTGAAGATGTGGAATAAGCTTTAAGAGAAGATCCCAATGATATGGAGGAGTTACTTATAATGCATTGCTTTCAGTGCTATAACGACCTTTATCAGCCCTTCTTTCATGTATTAGAAGTTATCAGGCTTAATCTGAGATATTTTGATTCCTGGACTAAGGCTGAAAAATGCCTCTTTACCCTTCAAAAACTGAAGATTTTTAATTTTTAATTTGTTTTTTAATTTGTAAGTGAGTTACCTGGGCACCCAAGGCAGAGCATTTCATAGCTGCCTCTCCCTCATTTTCTGGTAATAAAAAACAATAATAATTAAATTAAATCATTACCAGTTTGCTGCTTTTTCATGGTGCTCAAAATACACTGCCAATAGCAGCTGCCTTGGTCTATCTAGTGGTAGGGCCAGCTCTTGATTATGTGTTTTGAGGACAGCTTCAAATATTATAGTGGGGGAGATTTTTTGTGTAGCAGCTTGGAACTGACAAAGCTTGGTAATGCTGCTTTTTGGGCTACAGTGCCATAATCTCCCACAAGCATAGCCAGTGGCCATGTTGGCTTGGGTTTTTGTGGGGGCAAAAGTCCCCAGATTGAACTTTTCCAAGCACTGGTACCTCACATAGAACCTAGCAATACAGGTATGCCACTATGTGTGTATGACGCACATCAGCAAGGCTGGAAACCCCACTGGAAACTGAGCAGCCCATTGAAGAGATGGTCCTGAATAGAAGACAGGTGTTAGCATTGGACTTCTCAGCACCATGGACAGCTCCCTGGAAGACATGAATGGGTTCTAAGCTGTCCCAAAACTTAATCTCCAGTAGAGCAGACCCACTCAATTGGTTCCTGAATGGTAAGTCAACACTTACGTAAATGTCACTGATTCAGTGAATCTACCCTAGCAAATAGATTTAGTTGGTAATATGCAATAACATGTCTCTTTCTTACTAACTCTGAAACAAGCATATAGTGTCCTGATCTTGACTAGGACCACTGTGCCCACATAGAGAAGGCTTAATATCCCCCCAGCTGGTGTGTTTCCCCCTCCATCTGAATTTTACCTACAGCCCCCTTCTGCAACTGTAGATGGGGAGGAAAATGCCATTGTTGACAACATGGAAGAATCCTTATTAGCAACAGTAGAGTTCCTCCAATCTACAGCAGCTGCAGTGGGGCACAGGCAAATTTAGATGGAGAGAAAAAAACTGCTGGGGGAGGTTTAAGCCTTTTTCATGAAGGCACAGTGGTCCTGGTGAGAATCAGGGAACCATATACTTATTCTAAGTCTTCTCGACTTGCAAGTTGTCCCAGTCCAGATTGATCCTTGTATGTGTGTTTTAACCCTGAATTATAAAATTCTGTTGGTGACCCCCTCAAGGTCTGGGCAGAATCCTGGTTTAAAAGTCTGCATTCCAGCATCACTGGGTGTCCTTCTCTACCTCTTTTCATTTTTCAGCAGAAACATTAGACACTACTACACTGGGAGAACTCTGCAGTGGAGCAGTGTAAGACCACCTCAGGTTAAGGGTCATGTTACCTGATACCTGCATCACATATTTAGAAGCAGTCATCACGGAAGTGGTGGAAAACACTTGTCTATCTACGTATCTTGCATTTAGTGTGCTTTATATTGTAATTGATTACTGACAGTTAAACACCTTCTTAATTTGTAAGTCTGGTTGCTGAGGTGGACATCTCTGAGGAAAACCCATTGCTTGAGGGGAAACAGCTTAATCGGGGGAAGTATATGTTCTTTTTGAGATATCATTTATTCCACAGAGTTAGAGCAAATTTTCCTTCCTGAGCTGTTTAAGCACTAGGCCTCATACAGGTTTGGGGAATACAGGCTAACGTACATAGGCCTCTTCTCACTAATACAGGCTTCCACTGTCTAGGAATCAATATTTGAAAAGTTCCTTGGCCCTTAATGCTTCTAATTTGTTTGCCTACTTTGCTCTATAATGCAAATCTAAATTGCTGTGGCGTTTCTCTTGCAATATTTATGTGAATGTGTGATTAGTGTTAATGTGGGCTGGCAATGGGGAAAAGAACAACTTGTCAGACTGGCTGAAGTAAGTGTCTGACAGGAACTTTTAGAATGATTGCAAACAAGTTGCACATGGCTAGGCTCTCTCTCTCTCTCTCTCTCTCTCTCTGTGTGTGTGTGTGTGTGTGTGTGTGTTAGAGAGAGAGAGAGAAAGAGAGAGAGACTTCTCTCCCAAATATATACAGTATGTGTATATTTGTGTGTGCCAGTATCCCACTAGATGAAGATAATTGTGCAAGTATTTCATGCTCTAGCAAGCCCTCTGTCACACCATTGATCCTATAACTTGTTGTGCAACCAATTTGTCAAGCATTGGGAGACCAGGGCATGCAGCGGAGAGCCTGCCAGAGCAGAGGGAACACTGACTTGATTGTCCTTCTGTTATTACACAGTATCTCAAGCATGGCTTTTGTTCTTGGCAGCATGATCCAGCCAATTAGGAATCACAGCGCCAGCAGGCTACCATAGCATCACATACCCAATTATATTTACCACATTATGATGTCATCAAGGCCCTCCGTATTAGTCATGTTAAAAATGTTCTTCCTTCACACATGATAAGGGAACATGCTAGCCCCAGCCCACCATCACTGATTTGATCTAATAAGAGTTGGGAGAAGGGGGAGACTGTTCTATCTTTGGAAGTTCCTCACAGGAGCAAAAACATGAACAAATCAGGATGTGGAGAGCCTGTACACTTTGCTGCCACCTCCTCTTGACTTTTGCTTGGTTAAACCAATGACAGAAAGAGTGGGGCTAGCATATCACATGTGGACAGCATCCATTTTCAGAATGAGTAAATATGGCTGAAGTCAGTTAAATTGACTCCTATGCCTCCACTCCTCAAGAGGAGAATGAAGAATCATTTCATCATAGTTTGCAGAGTCTCCCAAACTATCATGGCCTCTTTTCATCTTCGTTCTATACCACAAACATTTGCAAAATGCCTTAGACCAGGGTGGACAAAGTACAGCTTGCAGGCTGCACATATGTGTGTTAGCCCAGCGCTCTCTCTCTCTCTCTCTCTCTCACACACACACACACACACACACATGCACGCATGCAGCTGGGAGGGCCACATACTCTACATCCCCAGTTCTTTAAAATTTTGCTCAGAAATTTCCCCCATAGGAACATGTGGAGTAATTTTGCTATTTTATTTTTAACCTTCCCTGTCTCTTAATTTTACACTTTTAAAAAATGCCACTCATTGGCATAAACGCCTTTAATCGATTTTATATGTTTGTAATTTAAAAATTATTTGGGTTATTATTTGGATACAACCCTCCAAGGTCCAGGGATGGCTTTGTGTGGCTCTCAGAATGCTGGAGGTTGCCCCCCCTCCCTGACCACAGCGAGCTGTGACCGGAGAACCTCTTGGACATTGGCATTGTTTTAAATCACTCCATCTAGTTCCAAACTGGTGAGCTCCTCCTTTAATGCAACAAAGCCATTAATCAAATCTCCTTAAAGAAATTGCTCACTCACTGCATTTGGAACTGCTATTAACACTGGGTTGATTTGTCCCAGCAGTGACACTTTTTTCTCCCCACACCCTTCTAAAGATTGACATATGCCATGCAAAAAACATTTTATAGATGTTGAGATGGCAATAAATCTGATAGAACCTAGAATACTGTAGTAAAGGCTAAGGAATAGAAGGTCTTTTTGATAAACAGATTGTCCCATGGTGACTTTATGCCTGGATGGTGCTGCTTACGGCTGCTATTGGGAAGGACATAAATGCATCTTTACACATGGAAGAATAGTTTATCTAGCCTAACTTTCTTCTTGCTGATTAAGTTTCTGTGTGTGGGAACAAGAACTTTACAACCTTATGGTAATGTGTTTCTCTAAAGAGCTTCTAAAGTACCCATGTAAGTACATTTAAGAAAAATAGAGTAAGGATGATTTTCGAAGCTGTACGGAGGATAACAAATGCTCTGGAGCACTTGGCTTCTGAAAGTAAGCTATAATGCAGAGCTTGAAAAGATACTTTCAAGATGAATGCGTAGAATGAGACCCAGAGCATCGTCTCCTCATTTCTCAGTGATGGTTGGCTTCAGCGTCTCTTTATCTTCATTTTTCTTAAAAGTAACTTTCTGTGCATGGTTCAAAAAGTGATTTCTTGCCTGCATTCCTTTTCTTGTAGCCTTTCGGAACCCTCGGATTATCAAGTCCTGTCTTTAGTGTCACAGTGGTTTCATCCCTCCTTGCCACATAAATATCACTTCCTCGGGCATTTATCCATAAACATTAAAATATAGCAGATAGTCTTTAGGGCGCCACAATATTTTTGGCTTTTTTCCTTCCTTCCTTCCTTCCTTCCATCCTTCCTTCCTTCCTTCCTTCCTTTCTTCCCTCCTTCCATCCTTCCTTCCTTCCTTCCTTCCTTTCTTCCCTCCTTTCTTTCTTTCTTTCTTTCTTTCTTTCTTTCTTTCTTTCTTTCTTTCTTTCTTTCTTTCTTTCTTTCTTTCTTTCTTTCTTTCTTTCTTTCTGCCAGATATGCTAGCACAGGCTAATATAGCTACTTCTTTTAGAACTGCAACAATAGTGGTTTCCCTATACCTTTCAATGAACATATACTGGTTTTTCCTTCATTAAAAAGTTGTGTAGCGTTTGGACCCTGCACAGAAAGGAAACTTCCTCCTGTCTTATGACGGCTAAGAACTTCCAAATGTGATAAAATGGTTACCTTTCAACATTGATATGAGTGGCACAACATGCAAATCCTGTCCAAAGTATGCCCAAGTGGAAAAAATTCAGAAAACACCCTAGCACCTGAGGCACACATGTATGGAACCAATACATGGAACCAATACATGTGTATGGAACTATTAGTGTGCCACTTTGAACCAGTGCTCTCTTACCATAGTTGAGATTCATTTAAATGGTTTACTACTCCATAACCTTGAATCATATAAATAAAAACTTGGACCCAAATTGTTGGAGGGTCTGTAAAGAAATTGGTTGCAACATTTACATTCCTGATTCCATAATGTTTAGGTCAAGGTGATAAAAAAAAGTAATAATAGAAAGATAACATCACAAAGTATGGTTATAAATCCAGTCTTGGGATTAATGAATTTATTCTTAGATTCCAATGCACTACTACACCATAAAGAGCTAATAACTTTTGCTGTGTTGCAACTAGATGAACAATTGTTCAGTGTTGGAAGACAGGTGAGAAAATGTCAACGAATGTTTGGGCATGTAGAGTATGGACCTCCTGTCATCACTTGATTATTTTTATTTTTTCCCCCATCTTGACCCATATTAATATTGCTGCTTTTTGTTTTATTATACTGTTTTAATTCTATTTTTATTGTTAGCTGCCCAGAGTAGACTTGTGTCTAGATGGACAGGGTATAAATTTAATAAATAAATAAATAAAATAAAATAAAATAAATAAATGGAAATTACTTTTGATGGAAAAACTCACTGTCCACTCGAAACTGAGGTACCAGAATTCCAGTATAGACTTGTTTTATAAAATCTAGCTTCTTTTATTCAGTATTGTTTCAGAGTAGTCAATTGACTAAATGGGAGAGGTATAAATGCAACAAATAAATAAATAAATTATAATAATCACGCTGATTTTCTTAGCAACCCCTCAACCACTCATGTTGATTTATGGAAATATGTGTTACGTTAACTAGTAATGCCATTTGATATGTTTACTATGTGGAGTTTGACAGTTTAGAACTATTTTATGGTTTTGTATATTGTATCTTGTAAGTTTTATTAAAACTAATTTTTTAAAAAAAGAACAAATATCTGTTGTTCACATTTCATTTGTGATAGGAAAGCAATGGAGTAACTTTCGGCAAAGGTACTCTAGCAGTTTAAAGGTTTGAAAGACAAGGCTAAAGTTTGTGTAACTTCTTTCCTGCCTCTTCAGTTTGTCTAGAAATAGTGAGAGATAATTCATTTTCTAGTGTTTTGTGTGTGTGTTTTTTAAGCCATTGCTTGGTAGAATTTTAGGAAGCAGTTGCGTTGTTGATGGAAACTGAGCCATCTTTTTCTGTGTGAATGGAAGGAAAGCCAGCCACCCACTCCTTTCCTCATGCATTTTTGTTATCTGCCATAATTTTCCCTTTTTTGATTTTCTGGTTCATTACAGACAGTGTGCTGAATGAAACACTGCGGTTGACAGCAGCTCCTTTTATCAGCCGAGAAGTTCTTCAGGACATGCTTCTGACACTGCCAGATTGCAGAGAGTATCACTTAAGAAAGGGAGATAGGCTTTGCCTTTTTCCATACGTAAGCCCACAAATGGACCCCGAAATCTATGAAGAGCCAGAGGTAAAGTGGTGTCATTCTAAATCATGTTCCATATAACAGCCTCCTCTGCAGATTCCTTTTTCCTTTTGCCTTAGCTGAACTTGCTGCTCATATGGGATCTGTGATGCAATTGGTAACATCTTATGTCCTTCATATGGCCTGTTACCTGTGGTGTAGAGATAAATATTTAGTGCAGCTCGTCATGGCTGTACCCCACCCCAACCAAACTCCCAAGGAGAGTCCAAAAAGTATAGGCAGTTGCCTTGATCCATATTAACAAACCAGTTCTAGCCATTGCTGTCCTTTCCAGGAGCAGGTCTTGTATGGAGCTAATGGGACTTAATTACTCATTCAGAACCAAGTACTTTGCATTAAAACAGGAATATCTCACAATATTATATTGCTGCTGGATTGCAGTTTAGCTTTGAGGGAGCAGAGGGACCCAAGGAAAAACTCAGATGGTGTCATTGCCCCTGTAAATATAGAGGTCCCAGCTTGCTGATCCTATAAGCCCTGACTCCCCTCAAACTCTGGCTCAAACCCTTAAAAAAAACTAACTACACACTGTTGACGTGGAACCAGAATCACATGTTTAAGCAAAGTAGCACTCTAGGCAGGAGTGTGTGTTTTCCAGGATTCTTCACACAAGACTATCAGAGAAACGAGTGCGTCCGATTTTGTACAAGTGGTTTCTGGGCAATGGTCTGAAGGTTCGCTGAAAGTGAGGAAAATATGCACAATTTCTAGTGGTCAGGAAATAAGGCTTGGATGCTCTGCAGTGCTTTTTTCCATGACTCCAAAAGGAGTCCTGCAAAAAATATGCAGACATGTCTTTAAGTACCTTATACCACATAATCGATAGAATCCTGTTGTACAACTGCATGGAAATAAATCCTGACCATGTCATCAGCGATGGACATTAATCTTTATTTTAAAGCATCTTCCCCCACTCCTCAGGTTTTGAGACTCCCTAGGGATACCTTTTGACCTGGAGAAGCCTTTTGGTGCCTCAGGATTGGGGAAGGGTCAGCCTTTAATGCCCCCAAATCACTTCGGATCAATTGGGACCTCCAGCAGCAATTTTCTGATGTGAAAAACGCCCTCCCCTCTGTCCTGAGGCTTTCCCAGTTTGAGGGGGATCTCTAGGGGTGGGGGAGGGCACAGGAAGCTTTGAAATAAAGATTGACAGCTTACAGCTGATGAGGTCATCAGGATGTACCTGTGCACAGTTACACAACATGGTTTCAACCTAAATGTAAGATGTGGGGATTGAGAACCGCACTAGCATAGACACAGAAAAACAACAAGACGGAAGCCCTTCTGTATAACATCTTGACTTTCTGATTTTGCAAGCTTTCCAACCTGCAGTTTAGTGAAGGAATACACAGGGACCAGAGGGATAGTTTGTGGCTGTCACAATGTTTAAACATCTTTGCTTGACACTTGAACTGTGTCAGAAGCACATGAGCTGTGATAATCAGATCTGGCCTCTTTCAGCTGGGAATATCATTCAGTGTTCTCCTTTTCAGAGAGCACATAAAGATGCTCCTGGAAACAACATCTCAGTGGATCTATGCAACTGCCCAAATACTGCAAATAAGATGTGAATTTGTTGATATTAATTTCTTTGTCTAAATCTACCTCTTTGTCTAAACTGCAAAAACCTGGTTCACACATGCATGGACTTCTCTTAAGTTCTGAATACTTGAGTCCTCTCCATTCAGTGACTGACTGACTATCAAATATTAATTTTTTTTCCAATGAATTCCTCTGACAAACATTATAAATATTGATAAAAAGTTCTGTGTTGTTGGATTGGTGACAGCTCATTCGCACATGAAATGATTTTAAATTCATCTGTGAACAATTGCAGGTAATATATTTTTGCTCAAAAGATTTGCTCTCTGTCCTAGGTGCAAAAATGACAAATTTTTGGATGTGTATTTAAGATCTCAAAATAGAATTAAGTAAACAATAATAAATGAAGAGCAGCTCCTATTCCTTATGAAGAGTGAAACTTCTGTTTGGCCGTTGCTATGACAACTGTCTAAAGCACATTTAAAAATATATCAACATGGTTTCTGCTTTCTAGTGTTCCTAATCTGCCTCCTCATTTTATCCCCCTTAATTTTCTCTCTCTTAGCAAAGAATCAAGCTGGTATTCCTTTATCTTATAAGCAGTTTCCCAAGGACCATTATGACAGAAACAATGATGATATCGTTGTAATACAAGTCTCATTAAATTATTGTTTGTAAGATTACATGATGTTCACCTGTGTCCCAATAAGCAATTAAATTCTCACCATCTGTTCCAGGAAAAAAATGATTTAAAAAATAATAATTGGGGGGGGGGAAGCAAAACAACAACAATAACCAAAACCCCCTTAATCTCATATTATATGGAATCCCAGGGAAATATAAGGGGGGAAAATCACCAAAATGTTTTGTGGCATCTTGAAAGGTTTTATTTAGCATAAGCTTTCATGGGCATAATCCATGCTTTCTGATGCATGGAGCTACCTTGGATTCACCCTACAGAATCCTGAGATTTGCAGTTTGCTGGAATATTTAAAATTCTGCACTAGAACATTCTTGTATACTCAGTTCAATCAAAGCAGAAAATATTAAATACTTCACCGAACTACAAATTCCATAGGATGGAACAATTGCAGTGGAAGTAGTATCAGAGTGTTATAACTACAGATGTGCATGAATCAGAAAAATGATTATTCATTTTGATTTCTGACTCCTCAAGTTTGACGAATCGTAAATTACAAATTTATGATTTTTTCTGACAAATCAGCTTAAAACTCTATAAAATGCCTCCCCAAGGACCTAGAGACACCACATTTGCAGAGTAGTTCCCCTGACTCTCTTCTACAAGACCTGAAAATTTGTGAACGTTGGGTTTTGGATGTCTGAGTTATACACCAACAAGGAGCCCCCCCCATTAAAGTCCCCCTAGGTTGAGTTATACACCCACAAGGAGGGCCCCCCCCATTAAAGTCCCCCCAGGCACCTAGAGACACTAACATTACAGAGAAACTTCCCCCAACTCTCCTCCACAATCCCTCCAAGTTTGGGCTTCAGACATCCAAGTTATATACCCACAAAGTGCCCCCCCAGCTAGCTTGAGGAAACCCAATCTTCACTCAACTTGAAGGGGTTGTAGAGGAGAGTCGTGGGAATTTTCCCTGCAATTTTGGTGTCTCTAAGTGCCGGGGGGGGGGCATTTTATAGCAAACCAAATAGACAAACAAAAAATCACCAAAAAAAAAAATCTTGATTCATATTTGTTGGGGTCATTGATTTGTACAGCTATGAATTGATGAATCAGTGATTTTTTTGAATAATTTGGTGATTCTTTTTTTAATTTGTGCCCATCTCTAGTTATAACTCTACAACGTAGACAAGCTCTACATCAGAATCCAGCCCAGTGAATTCTAAAATTTATTTATTTATTTATTTGTACCCCACCCATCTGGTCTTATGACCACTCTAGGCGGCTGGATAGCTCAGTGGTTTAGGCACCTGGCTGTGGAATGAGAATCTGGTAGTTTGATTCTCCGCTGTGTCTCCTGTGAGTAGACCCAGCTTGAGTGGCCTTGGGCAAGCTGCACATTCCCAGGGCTGCCCCAGAAGAAGGGAATGGTAAACCACTTCTGAGTATTCTCTATTCTGGAAAACCCTGGAAGGGGTTGCCATAAGTCTGAATTGATATGACGGCACATTGTTGTTATTGTTGTTGCTTCTGTCCCCTTAAAGCTCCAAATGCAGTTTTGGCATGTCTTAAAGTCCTGACCCTCTGTTTTAAACATTAGTTGACTCTGTTTATTTATTTGTATTTATTTAGTCCCATTTATAGCCTACTTTTCTGCCGATGAAGGGACTAAACACTGAAAGGACAGGTTTTTCTCACTTTTGTCTTCTTTCTTTTCCCCTCAGAAATTCAAGTACAACCGGTTTCTCAATGCAGACTGCACTGAAAAAACAGACTTCTACAAAGGAGGGAGAAAGCTCAAATATTACACTATGCCGTGGGGAGCAGGAATCAACGTTTGTATTGGAAAGTTCCACGCAGTCAATAGCATCAAACTGTGAGTGAATGCATAACATTGACAGAACACCCATCTCTGGCTGCAGTATAGAACAAAAGAAGCCAGCATTGACTTGGAGCAGAAATTAAACCTTTCAAATAAAGAGAGAAAAGAAGAAGAAAAAGTGTTAATCTGGTGCCATTTCAGTTGTTCCCATGTGTGAATGATGAATGGAACCATTTATAAAACAGGAGATGAAGTCTCACATCTTTTTCATCTTCTAACTTATTGCTTATAATTGTCCCATAGATCAGGCGTGCTGCAGAATTTTTGACTCCTCCAGCCCTACCTAGCTGAGCTGAACAGAGTCTGCCAGGTCTGTCCTGCCAGGGTTTGGCAACCCACACCTATCATGCAGGCTCAGAACTTGGAAAAGTTACATTTTTGGACTACAGTCCTAGAATTGCGCATGTCACTTGGGTAATACCTTTCAACAACATTTTTTCTAAGCCTTGAGCAGACTGCAGGAATGAGGTTCATGAACAGTGGCACTGGCAAACATAAAGAGAATGTAGGCAAATTGGTCTTCATAGGAGCTCTCGCACCATCCAGGCTGATTTGGCGCCTTCGTTTCTAACCCCAGCCCCCAGTGCTTCGCCTGCTCACTCCCTGACCTCACCATTGCTCACATAGCTGAAATGCAACAGATCACTCCTCTTTCATTTCATTTTCTTTACAGAGTTTGGTCTTCCTTTATTCATGTTAGCGTGTTGCACAATTAATTACAGACCTATGTGAAATATAGATAAAAATAAAAACAAATTGAAATGCTAAAAGAATTAAACTATTTTTTTACCAGAACCAGGTTATTTCAATAGTGATATCTCAGCCATTTATTAGATCTTTGGTACATGTGGTGGGGCATAAATTGCATGCTCATAAATGCTGCATTGATTGAGTTTCTCCAAAGTCACAGAACATTTGTTCTGTATCCAAGTAGCCCTGTTTTCCTGCAGTGAGCAGGGGGTTGCACTCAATGGCTTTTAAGGCCCCTTTCTGATACTATGACTTTACTTGATTATTCTTTGATCTGCCTCCTTTGATTCGGCCTGAATCAGTGAAATTCGTCGACGAGGAAGCAGGACAGGGATTCCCACTGCACAGGACAGGGATTCTCACTCCTGTCTAGAGTGGATAGCTGCCTCAGGAAGAGGATCTGGCTGGCACGTAGAGGCTTGTGAGTAAGGCGGATGACTGGGGGTGGGGAGAGGAAACACTGGGCACCTGTGGTGCCACACTGACAAATTTCACTGATTTGGGCCTAATCAATCCGTGCCCATGTCTAATTGGAACAGGAGATGGAAGCAACAACCCAGAGGGCCCCAAAGACCAGAACTGAAAGCAGAAGCCACAGCTGAATGTTCTGTTCATATCTGTGACTGAATGTGTCTTTGGCAGCTATTTTTCACTCCCCTGAGTTCCTGTGCCCCTTCCTTATTTCTTCTCTCAGAACCACCATGGGCTTCTAATGGAAATACAGCATAGGAATGTGTGTGCTCTCAGATTTATAGTTTCTCCAAAGTCACAGAACATTTGTTCTGTATCCAAGTAGCCCCGTTTTCCTGCAGTGAGCTATCGCTTTATGATGGGTTTTTTGCGACGAAATCGCTTTATGATGGGTTTTTTGCAATTGCTATTGTGATTGTAAAACAATGGTTCCAATGAGGTTTTTTCGCTTGGCATCAATTAGGAGCCTGCTTCACGAACCGTTTGTTTACTTAATGACAATTTTTTGGCTCAGCAAAATGGCTTCCCTTCGTAAAATGGCTTCCCTTCCTTTGGAAAGTGGTGGTTTTCCGGACAGAAGCTTATTCCCTTCGTAAAATGGCTTCCCTTCCTTCGGAAAGTGGCGGTTTTCCGGACAGAAGCTTCACATTACAGGGAATTAGAACAGCTGATCAGTGGTTCTCTATGGGCAATCTTTGCTGGACGATGAGGTATTTCCCTCATTGGAACGCACTGACTGGTTTTCAATGCATTTCAATGAGGTTTTTACTTTCAGGACGATGAGGTATTTCCCCCATTGGAACGAATTGACCAGTTTTCGATGCATTTCAATGAGGTTTTTACTTTCGCTTGACGATTATTTCACTTAACAGCGATTTTAATGGAATGCATTATCTTCGTCAAGCGGGGCACCACTGTACACTGTATAGGGCTGGATTCCACCACCTTCCCCTATCCAAGCAGAAGATAAACAGGACATGTTTTTTACAAGGTTAAGTAAAGGTTCCGGTTGACATTTAGTCCAGTTGTGTCCAACTCTAGGGGGTGCTGCTAATCCCCGTTTCAAAGCTGTAGAGCCAGCGTTTCTCCATAGTTTCCGTGGTTATGTGGTCAGCACGACTAGACACGGAATACCATTACCTTCCCACCGAGATGGTCCCTATTTATCTACTTACATTTTTACATGCTTTCAAATTGCTAGGCGGCAGGTTAGAACACTATAATAAAGTGCACTAAGCTCGTCAACTAACCACATTCATCGTTTTAATACCTCGGTATCTTCTTTAACCTTCCCCTAAGCAATTTTCTCACCTTTGCATCACATCTCTCCCTGGCAAAACTAAATGTCTTCTTCTTTGCTCTAGAATCTCTCTCCCCCCTTGTGCTTCTTCCTCTCAATCTGACTAACTGACACTAAATTCTAATCCCCTCCTTGTCCCTCCTTCACAGGGTTCCAAATGTCATGATAGGCAGAGACAGGAGGACAGCCACGAATGCCATGGTACCCCCTTTTTCAAAAATTAATGAATGAATTAAAAGAGCCCTATGCTGCATTTTGGGGTGCACTGTGGAGAAAAGTTCCAGGTGCACCTATCATTTTCACTCATCACAGGACCTCTAGAGCCGCAAAGGGCTTCTGAGGAAATAAAGATGGTGGGAACACTTGGGACTCTGATACACAGTTGTGCCCAGTTCCCTTTTCAAAATTACATGCCCACACAATGGCTGAAATCTTGTTGCCTGGTTAAGCAAGTAGCTTAGCTTTTGGAAGTGAATTGCCATAAGTTAGAAATAATTAAATAGACTTTTGAGTCATGTTGTGTCAGCATGCCACAGATCATGCCTATGAAGATTTCTTATGGCAACTCCTGTCCAAAAGTTGCACCATTTGCATAGCTGCCCAACAGAATGTCAGCCTCAGTGTTGCTGCAACCACCACTGCCCTTTCCAAGCTTCAAAGCCTTGAACGTGTGCCTTGTGGTCAAGGCCTGGCAGTGCTAGAGTTCATCAGCCCTGGGTGGATCATCATCTTACAAAGCCGATGGGCTGTGCTCAGCTTCTTGAGTGCAAAAGTAACTCAGCCTGCCCTAGATAGCAAAATGTGAGATGTACGTTTAGGGATAAACTGTTGCTAAATGGTCCCTTGCCTATGGGCATCACAGCACATCCATGATTTATTCTGCCTGCTTTGGAGGAAGTGGAAACAGCTTATGTTCTGGTTCCCAGGCAATTTACAGAGCATGGCCTGTTTTGCTTTAGCAGCGCAAGCAGACTGTGTGCCTTCAGACTTACTTCAGGCACTTCAGAGTCCGAATGATGTGGGTTTTTCAAAGGACTAGATGAAGCCGTGGAAGCCAGCCATAATAGCTCTGTGGACAGAGGCAGCAGAACTATAAATATCAGATACTGTACAAAACTAAACTACTAAAGGGTAAAAATTAGAGGATGGTTTTCCGGAAGCAGCTTGTTGGCTGCTTTTGGATACAGAATGCTGGATCTCAGTCTGATTGACAAAAAGACAATTCCTACATTCATATCTTAAATCAATGGTTTCTGACACCTTTTTTGGATTATAGAACCCAGAATGTGGTGAAAGCTGAGTGGACGCACTTGCTCCTCTTTTGGATACAGAATGCTGGATCTCAGTCTGGTTCACAAAAAGACAATTCCTACATTTGTATCTTAAATCAATGGTTTCTGACACTTTTGAGTATCTGATGAAAGCTGAGTGGACGCACTTGCTCCTCCCCGAATGATACAGTAGTTAAGAATGTAATTCCAGTTTAAAAAAGATTCCCCACACCAACACCACAATCACAAATTTCAAAGTAACAGGAAGGAAATCAAAGAAAAGGAAGAGTTTAGTACCTAGTTCTCAGATGTACTGAAATATATTCATGGACCACTACCCTCTCAGAGATCTATGGACCACAGCTTAAGAACCTTTGCCTTAAATGGCTCTGTGAGTGTGTGTATGTGCAACAGAGAGACATTTTAGGCAAGGCTGATAAATCATTATTGTTGGTTATAGGATAGCTTTGTAGGACAGCTTTTGCTATATGCAAAAGGGGACACAACGTCTATAACGCTGAGAGTGCTTTGCCATGGTTATACGCTGTCTAGTCAGAACTGCCTCATAGCGATCCTAATAGAGCTTTCAAGGTGAGTGAGATATTTGAGGAGTGGTTTTACATCTTCAGCACCTCCAGTGAGTTTCCATGGCTGAGTGGGGTTTGAACCCAGGCCTCATGAGTCCTAATCTGCCACTCTACCCACTACAAATGAAGGGCTTCTGATTCTCAGTTGCTTAACAATTATGTCAACAGAATGAGTTCCCTCTCCTTGTTAAATTACATTAATGAACCAATAAAAAGCTTGAAATTTACCACGAAGGGAATTTCATGTGGTAAGCTTCTCAGAGTCACCATGGTCTTTAATTCCACATGTCTTCTATCACAATAGCTTTATTTGCTGAACTCATGGTTTTTGGAAAATGCAAAGTCAATCCTGCACAGTCTGAAGTTTCCCCTTTCTTGAATTACGTTATACAAGCTCTTGTCACTGAAAGCATACACAGGCTAAATATGCAGGTTTGGGGAAGTGGTAGCTGTTGGTCCCAGGTTGTTTTTTGTTTGTTTCTTTTGCGGTGCGGACGTTATTGTAAAATTATTTTGGATTTTAGACAGCAGTTTACATGAGCAGCCTTTTTGCATTTTTGTGTTTTTTGGACTGCAACTCCCAGAATTTCCCAGGCCTTGTTGGAGTTGTGGTCCAAAAACAAAAATGCACATCTCTTTTAGTGGATTCATAACACCTCTGAAATTTCAGAGTCAGAGGCCCCCACTAGCTTGGGGAAGAGGGGTGTTAGAAACGTCCCTTCTGGGTTTCAGATATTTGAACTTACCTTTATAGACAGACTGCAGCTTGTGTTAGTTGCTGTGATCAAATACCACAGAAACCAGTGAAAATGGATGTAAGTGTGTGAAGTACAGCAGCCTTTCTAGCTGTAAGCCTCTGAATTCAGCAGCCATTTCTATCAGAATAAGCTGTGGATGTATTGCCACCTGCATATGATGCCTCTGAGAGGTTTTAGCTGGGAGGGACATTTCTGGACTGGGGTGAATGTCAGTCAAGTCAGTAGCAGTCAACTGTCCGCTTTCTTCCTCAGATTCTTTTTCCCACCTTTTTTCCAGTCAAGGTCAGTGTTAGCAATGGAGTCTGTCACAAAGGGACAGTTAGAGTGATGTGTTCTATCACCTACATAACCAGCAGCTTAGTCAGTAATGAAGCTAGTTAACTAGTTAAGCTCAGTGATGCAACAAGCTAATATTTTTATACAATGATCTTTGTTTTTATCTATGAAGAACCATAAATAAACAGAAATACTTCATTATTTCTCATAAACAGGGTCTCTGGATGAATGTATTGAGATAGTAAGTGTCAACTGAGGTAAACTAACAAATAAGGAGTGGTCCACTGAGGGAGACTTGAAGTCAATCTGCACTGTAGGATCCTGACTGAACCATTTTATCCAGTGCATAATTAGAGGAACTTTATTTAATTTTTATAAAGCCACACTTAGTTTCCTCACGCGTTCCACCCCACATAAGCACTATCAAATGTATACTGTTTTCAGCCACATATTGCAAGCTGGCATCTGACCTAGTCTGGTGTATTTTTTTAAAGTATGGGAAGTATCCCAATGAATATTTCCATGTACAAAACTCTAGCTGCAGAAGCTGCCATGGTGATCTGATGAGTTGGTGGTCACACAACTGAGTCACATAATCAGTTGTGTAAATACTGAAGAGAACACTGGGCTACAAATCCTTTGTTTTAACTATGTCAGTTTTTTGTTCAGACTCTATATTCCATCTGTTTTATATGAAAGCACAAAATTTAATAATAGTACAAGCTTGATGTCTTAAGCCCTACTGATCCGATTATATTGTCTCATTTCAGGTGTGTTTTTCTCCTCTTAAGATATTTTGATTTGGAGCTGAAACATCCAGACACAAAGATCCCAGGCTTCGACAAAGAACGATACGGTTTTGGAATGCTGCAGCCAGAAACCGACGTTGTTGTTCGATACAAACTGAAAGACCAGTAGAATGGGCTCACTCTTTTTCAGACCAACTTGTTCTGGACAGTCGCTTCCTTGCTGGCAAGAAAGCAATAACTTGCTGGTTTCTGCTGGGTTTTTCATGGCACTACTCAAATGGATAGTTTATGTTCTAGCCACGATGGGGAAAAAAAGTCCAATTTTAAGATGTGTTCCATGACATCAGCAAGCTGCTTATATGGAAAGGTTCCTTGGCTGGCACTTTTCTCCGTACCTCTGCATGGTGTGAATGGAAAATGGTAAACACTTTGCTATGTGAAAAGTGGCCTTTATGGGACACACACAATGAGTAAACACTGAGTATACCAGCCAATATGTCAGGCTGAGTTTATTCCAGAAGGATCCAGCGCTAGGGTGTCCAACTGAAAAAAGAGGACAGGGCTCCTGAGTCTTTGAATACTTGTGTGGAAGAGGAAGTTTCAGTAGAAGTAGCTTGCGTTATATGCAATATAGTGGTGCCTCAACTTACGGTCATAATCCATTCCAGAAGATGGACGTAACTCGAAATGGTCATAAGTTGAAGCACCATTTCCCATTGAAATGCTTTGGAATGCGTTTAATCTGTTCCGGCCAAAAACAAACAAAAAACCACAAAAACCAAAAATAAAGCACACAGTAAGCCCCATCCGAAGGCACTGGGGCTTTAAAAAAATAACAACCAAAAATAAAGCATACAGCAAAGCCCATCGGAAGATGCTGGGGCTTAAAAACAGAAACAAAAAACAAAAAAATAAAGCACACAGCAAGCCCCATTGGAAGGCGCTGGGACTTTAAAAACCAAAAAATAATAATAAAGCACACAGCAAGCCCCATTGGAAGGTGCTGGGGCTTTAAAAAAATAACCAAAAATAAACAACACAGCAAGCCCGATCGGAAGGTGCTGGGGCTGAAAAAATAAACACACCAAAACACCAAAAAAAAAATAAATATCACAGCATAGAAACATAATCCTCCCCCAGCCCAAAACCACCCTGCAAAACCCTGTAAATGTACTTACTCAGAACCAGAAAGCAGCACCAGGCAGTTGGAAGCCTCCTCCAGCGCACACACTCTAATCGTTGGGGCGAAAGGGTTACAAATAAGCTCTTCGTCAAAGCAGCACCAGGCAGTCGGAAGCCTCCTCCAGCACACACACTTTAATCGTTGGGGTGAAAAGGTTACAAATAAGCTCTTCGTTGACCAAATTAGCCCTCTAATTTGAATTCCCCACCTTTTTCCCTGCCTCTTTTGATCACAACTCAAAGCTTCTGCTGCAAGTCGAAGCAAAATTTTGCAGACGGAGCTGGTCGCAACTCAAAATGGTCATATGTCAGGACAGCCATTAGTCAAGGCACCACTGTAGCTTATGAAAGCCACCCTTCCACATAGCTATTAAAGGTATAGGAGCTTTGTGTGCTTTTACAAATGGATTGCACACCTTACCCAATGCCTCGCAACTCAAAATGGTTGCATGTCAGGACAGCCATTAGTCCAGGCACCACTGTAGCTTATGAAAGCCACACTTCCACATAGCTATTAAAGGTATAAGCTTTGTGTGCTTTTACAAATGGATTGGCCACCTTACCCAATGCTTGTATGCCACTTTCTGGGTTCTGTTAGGCTCTATTCTTTATATGAGTAATACAAACACAATGAACTTTTAAGACTGTGTAAACAAAACAACAACAAAAGTAACAGAAGCATAGCTCAAACTGCATGCTGCAAAATATATGCTCTTGAGTTACCCACTGTGTTAGAACAGGAGTTAACTGCAGGAAGATTCAAGTATGCAAATATCTCCTTGAAGCAACATGGATGAGGAACAAAATTCCACATGTAATTATTGCCCAAAGCAGAAGATCCATGATACAAAGCTGTTCGATGCTGGTTATACAAACTTCTAAGGACCTATATCATTCTCAGAGGTATAGCATCTGCCCTCTCCAGCTTTTTTTCTTTCTCAAGTGAAAGTTTGAATCACAGTCCCTTCCTAAGAGTTGCAGTCTATGAACATTCGGACAGCCACAAGCTGTTTAGCCCTGCTGTAAAGAGATATTTCAAATTTTTATATGGAATATAGTAATTAAAAACATTCCAGAAGCACTCATACCTTTTAAAAAAGTCATAGTATCTTGTTGCATCACTCTGCTGGTATAAGAGGAGTGATGTCATAAAAAGTAACAGATTAAAGGAAATTATGACTTCCTGCTTTGATTTTGGATTATGCATGATTTGCATGCCATGAGACGGAGATGCATACAACCCAGTATCAAAACTTTAAAGTCTGCTGGGGGAAATGCTTTGCCTGTTGGATCTGCAGAGTTGTGCAACAAGATACTGATTACATATCCATGTATGTATGTGATCCAATCAATCAGTCAATCTGACCAGATGTAACGCCCACTGTTCCTGAAGGCAGAGTATATGCAAGGAAAGTTGAAGGTTGTACATTCAATGGAACACAAAGTGTCGAGGTGTTAATTCACAGTCTCCCATTTCTGTAGACAAAAGCCTGGCCAGGACCCCTATGGATCTGTCATAAATCTTGCCCATGGCAATCAACACATATACATATACTTCTACATTTATAGAAGCCTGTACATAGGTTCAAAGGAACATAAAGGCAATCTCTAATGAATTTACTAATAGGTACATTGGCCATTTTGTGATCAATTAAACCTGCACAGAATGTTTGGCAATATTCGGCTACTACCATTATTTTTTCTCAAATTCTTGATACGGCACTCCCATTATAAGCTATACTTATTTACAACCAAGTCATGAATCTTCTTGTGAACAGAAATTATTTAGCTCTGATACACCTAAAATGGAAAAGCCAAGCCTTATGGTCAGTAGTATATCCTCTTAAAAAAATCACTGCAAAAAGAAATGTCTAACCTGTAACAGAACTGTGTGTGTTGTGCAATCCAATAAAAGGCTTAAAAAGAAGAACAAAAAACCAGGGAGGCAGTATGGTATTGGTTAGTCCTGATCTGAAACAGCCTATCAAATGAGGTCTTCTTGGGCCCCTCTTGCTGCTTTAAAGGGTGGCATCTTTAAAGCTGAGTTTATGCTGCTACTGCTTGATAGTCCTTTTAAGAATATTTCTATGGCTTTATCAATATTTTTATTCTCTTGTTGTATATTCATGTTTTTCACTGTATGTTGCCAGGAAATTTTGTAAGAAGACTGAATATAAATTTCGAAAATAAACAACAAAGTATTTTGTACTGGATGTGACATGTAATACCCTAATACTTCTTGCTTTCTTCCTTTTAATAGACTACAATTCTAGCTTTTAGACTTTTTTTTTAGAAAGCTCGTGTACTGTATCTTGTCTGAGTGGATCCCTTGGAACTAGGAAAGAAAGGTTAGCAGGATTACTATATATCAAGAAGCTATGTCTGTCTGATACAGCTCATTTCCCTTCACCATTGCTGTTAGATGAAATCAAGAGATCTAAAAATTCTGTATCGTAATATGTAGAATGTTGCCTCATTGCAGAATTCTGTTGGTTCATGGGCTTAACAGCTGCTGCTTTTAACAACAGACATTGATTTAAGCTTAAAAGCAGCTGTATATTCAGGTTTTCCTGTTATGTTATGCAGCTTAGCATGTGCTCTTAGCTCCTTATCAGAGCTAGGATTCTACACATGCATAGTTAGTATTTATTTGTCCTTACCATCACTATCCCCAGTCTAGTTTCTTTTTTATAGCTATTCTGAGAACAGGCGTTTTACTAAATGGCCTTTGAGCCCCTATTATCACCTATATTTGAATCCACATTCTAGAGAAAAAGCCAGGGCTTCTGCTTTTTCTAACGGCTGGAGCAATGAACCTTTAAATTGCAAAGCCAAATGGCAATTTAACAGATTTGTAGATTTCTCCATTAAGTGAAGTGAAGCATTGAATCATTTGGGAAGGAAACAGCTTATGGTGAATGTTAAATCCCAAAGGAGTCATATCCTGGCATAAGGGATGGAATCCACTTTCTCCTACACACAGATTTCCTGAATTTTTTTTAAGTCACAAAATTTTGTGTAATATTTTTTAATTTCAAACAAATTAAGTGAAATGTTCGCCCACCTCTAAGAGGGGAAGAAGCAGATCTGTTAATTTCACTTTCTACCACATTTACGTTTTGTGATGTTTTTGGAATGAAACAAAATTCTATCCCATCTCTGTAGCTGGTCATTTTCATATCACCAGAAGGAGGCTCAGATGTGCACAGAGCTTACCTATGTTATTTGTTTATATTCACAGACTAGGGGTGGGCAATCTCCAGAGTCTTAGAGCCACATGTGACCCCCATCTTCTATTTTACTTCTTATAAAAACAGGGTTATTTTTAAACTGGAAGATACACTCTTTGTATCCTCTAGTGGCCCAATTATAAAAAATTATTAGAGGATGCTGGGTGCAATAAAAATATTGCATCATTTCCCTCCTGCCTCTGAGGGAACTTTGCGGGCACATGGGGACTTTTTGATCCAAATGTCTTCTATCTTCTTTATTCTGAGGGAAGTGGTGCTATCCCCCTCCTCCAGGATGTGATGGGGCCACACATTGGGCCACTGGAAGCTACATAGTGCCCATGGGCCACATTTTGCCCATGAGTATAGACTCACATTTGGGCACAATTACTAATAGCAATTACTGATAAATAAATAAATAAATAAATTTACTCAGTGCTTGGAAAAACTATAAAAACCCTGTAACACTCAGAATCCTCCAGCCAGCTTAGCCCCTCCACACTCTGCGTGTAATGTTATATCGTTAAGAGGGGTTTATTCCTAGATGAAGGCAACATTTAGGAAATTGTAAACAAATGCAGCTGTCTTTCACCATGCTTTCATACAGCATGGCTTGCTGGTTGATCTCGGCAGGAAGGCATCCTGAGACCAAATAGAGCATGCCATTTGTAATTAATTCTATGATTATTCCCAGGGCCGTTCACAGGATAAACAGCACTATGAGTGAAGAGCATCGTCAGTGTCCCTTCATCAGTTCATTTCTTTCCGTTGAAAATATCTTACAGTGACTATGTTACAGTATTTGGTGCGGTTAACATTGTGCTTAGCCATGTTACCTCAGAATAGAGCCACGTTTTGCTGATTTTGATCTAAAATAAATGACACAAGACAGGAAACCAATGAACACAATTTAAAGTTAATAGGTAGGACTTTTTCTTTTGGAGCTCATACCCAAACAGATTGAGAAAGTTGAGGGTTGTGGGAGATGAAGACACTAGGATGCAATACAATGGTCAAGTGCCACATCACTGAACTTAGCCCCTAGGATGAGTGCTCAGTTCATCTTCCCGTCACATCCTCCTTACATGGCATGAAATGGAAAACCAGTGTCTGAAAAAAGTTACTTTTGGCATAACTTTCCAGTTTCTTTCAAGAAACGTTGTGCTAGTTACAATCTGAAGAACCAGCTTTTTCGTGCTCTGAAATATCAGTAGAATTAAACATCATCACAATAAAAGTACGAGGCAACACACAATCATTTAGCCTGTAAAAATAA